TAAGGTTATCAGATATAAAGATATTTTGACAGAAGAGGGTCTTTTAAAATCTAAACAAGAGTTAAAACAACAAGGAATAAATTTAGAGTGGTGGTATTATCTCCAAATCCAGGCAAGATATCTGAAAGATAAACGTGAATGGGGTATACATAGTCAAGATACGGGGTTAGATAAAATTTTGCTTGGTCCGGAAAAAAACAAATAAGGAATATTTACAAACATTTATTGGAGCACAGGCTATTTGAAGAACAGGTTAAGGAAACAATGGTGACATGGGCAATAGATCTAGGACATAATATTAATTTGGATCAGTGGCAGCAGGTATGGATACGAAACAATAAAATTACACTGGCGTCATCTTTTAAAGAAAATTCGTACAAGATGGTTTATAGATGGCATCTCCCTCCAACAAGATTAGCTAAAATGTATAAAAGATACTCGCCATTATGTTGGAAATGTAAAAAGGAAAGGGGCACTTATTTTCATGTTTGGTGGTTATGTAAGGAAGCACAGAGTTTTTGGTGTATGGTCTGGGAGTGGGTAACAGAAATGGGTATACAAAATATTCAATATAAACCTGAGACACTGTTATTAGGAATTCTTGAAAATAATGTTAGCAAAGAGGATATGTTTTTATTTACTCATGTGGTTACAGTGGCAAGAATTATATTCGCTCAAAATTGGAAAGCTATGGTGATACCTAGTAAGGAAAGCATAATTCATAAAATTATGCATTGCGCAGAATTAGATAGGTTAACTAGAAGACTAAAAAATCAGGATGAAACGGTTTTTTACCAAATTTGGAACAAATTTTACAGATGGTGGGGGAAAAGCAGGGAAGTTATTGTACTGAGATAATTCAAGATTGTGATTAGAGTGATGTTATTGTATAGGTTTTTCTCATTAGTAATTTATGGTAATAGTGAAATGAGATATATGTCAAATCTGTGTTACCATGTTCAATGTTTTTAATTTTTTGCTTTTCAATAAAATTTAAAAAAAACATTTATATTTTTAGGCTGAGCAAACTTTACACTTTTTCAATTTACTGTACTTTGGTTTTTTACTGGACTTCAAGTTTGAGTAGTAAGCACTAGGTAAGCAGTGCTTCTAAGCACGTGCAGAATTCAGAAATATGTTCTGTTATAAACATTTCATCCATCGAATGGGTTGTTTCGTTTGAGAGTCATTCTACTATCATTACTACCAGAATTACAAGTCCTAGAGGACAGGACTATTACAAGTCATTCTGAGATCATTCATCCTTGTCCAGCCCTTCAAATACAATGTAATTGTATTATCTTAAAGGATTTAAAAATAAGATATTAAATGATTAATGTCATATACGTATGCAATTATATTACTTTAATGAATTCAATCTGCATTTGTTTGGATTAAGGTATAAAAGGTTGAAGGTTTATTGATTTTGATTGATTTTGTATGTGAAAAAGAATGAAAAATTGGGATGAAATGTAAGTAGGAGGTTGGGAATAAGGAATGTTTTTGAAGTCAATATTNAGCAATTATATTATTAAAGAATTTAAAATTTGTATTTACTGGGATTAAGATATTTGAATGATTATAAGAGAAATGGTAGAGTTTATTTTTTTTTTTAGATGTCTGGATTTGGGGAAGATGGATAATTTTGGTTTTGAGTTAAAATGGAGTTTAATTGTTGTTTTTTGTTTTTTAATTATTTGAGTTAAAGTTTTTTTTTAAACTGATTGCTTTATGAGGTGTTGAATCCTGTTTTAGTTCTGGGAAGTCGGGGAAGGGAGGGGTTTAAGGGGAAATTATAAATTGATGTAATACATAATTATAAGTATATAATGGAATTGTAATAGAGGATATTCCCGGCAGGTTACCCAAATTGCACTCGACCTGGTGGTTAGAAGGCGAAAGGGATGTAGAACGGTAGGAGGAAGAGGAGAGGTTGTGGGGTCAGGCGGAGGAAAGAGAGGGAAAGTGGATAAGAGTGGAGGCAAGGCGGGGACTGCCGGGAGTATTCGGAAATATTTTGAGTAAAAAAAAATTTTTTTTTGTGGAGTTTGTAGATGCATCATTTGTATTTGTTGTTTAATTCAAAATAATAAAAAATTTTATATATATATATAAAAAAAAAGAGTGGGTGTGCAAAAAAGTATGTTTATATGTATCAAGTTATAAAGGAAAATGTTTTCCTATAATAAACCCTTAGAGATACAATCAATGAAGAAAAATATTTTTCTTTCCACTTATTCATGAAGAAATTTGCTGAATATCACAGATCAAAATAACATATGCTGAAAAAAATCCCTGATTATGGGAGTCTTAACTTGCAAAACCGGGTTCTGCAAGAGGAGGTCTAAATACATTCCGCTTATAAATAAGTTTGAATCTCTGCTTAAGTCAGTTTTAAGCCAGTTTTAAACCAAAGTTTCTTTTGTTGGCTTTCTGAAAATGGAATACCTGGGGCGCAGATATTTAACTTTTTAAACTCATCTGGGAAAGGAAGGGGGGGACACTGCACCAGTTTCACAGGATCAGATAGTCAACTGTCCATATGTAGGAGCCTCTACATATATCAGTATATAATTGGGATCATTTCTGACCAGTACGGTCACAAGTTGTGGAAAGAAGAACTGTTCTTCAGCACATTCTGTAGAAACCAGGACTAAATTATCTTTTCTGAAGATCTGCCTTACTAGACTCTAAAAAGAGGATGCTCTCTTCTTACCTCAGCCATCTGGCACTAGAAACATACTCTACTATATTTAATTTTTATTGTATTTATATCCTGTCTTTCTGTTTTACCCGTCTCCACAACCTGTCCCCCAAATGAATTCATCACATCCCCCTCTCCCTAGAGGGAAAAATACTAAGACTATTCTTTTCCACCTCTTGTGGTCTGTCTTCCAGACTGCCTATCTTCAAGAGCACGTAGCTACTCACATCCGCCATAGTCCTGCTCACACCAGATTAGGAGCCGCAGCGAGGCGAGCGAGAAAAAGGGAAGAAACACACGAACCAAAAGCAAAGGGCGCGTGACCCAGACTGAAGTAAGAATTGACACCAGCCAGCGCTGGAAACCTTCGGCGACAACCACCGCACGACAGGCGTGGCTGCAAGCCAATCCCCGTCCTTTCCTTCAGCAGTAGCTGTCCTATAAAATAAATAAATAAATAAGTAAATAAATAAATAAAAGCAGAGAAGAAAGTTCCCACCCTCTACTTCCGCATCCTTTCAAAGCGCGTCCAGCCCTTTCCTTGCGCAATTTCGCTGTCTGCTAATTGGTTGCGTTGGTGTCTCCTCAGGGAATTGACGTCCCGCCCCGTGACGTCAGTAGCCAGCCAAGACTCAGGCCGTATCAATCCGCCCCCATAATGCCTTGCGTGGCGGGTTCTTTGATGGATGGCACGGCGGTTTTGGGCGCGAGAGAAGGTTGGCGCAAGATCTTACTACATGGAGTATGAAAGGGAAGAACGCATTCTGGTGTAAAAGTAATTGCGTGGTATGTTTTAATAAATATTTGTACTGCCATACCCCGCTCCATTCTGCATGTCCAAGTCTTCGATTGGGAAGATGGGATCCAGATCCTAAGGGTGGGTAAAACCGCTTGTAGCCTGGATTATCAAGAGGAGGGCGTCCCTAGTAGCGCCCGCCAGCTTGTCATGGAATCTAGAGTTTAAGCATCACAATGTAGTATGAAATCTCTTCAGCAAGATCTCAGCCCACAAAGAAAAAGCAAGTTGAAGCACAGACTTGTTAATTAAAATGGGGTTTGTGATTTAAGTCCCACTGAGCCTTGACCCAATCAGAACAGAGCTGGAAGGCACTTTGGAGGTGTTTTAGTCCAGATGTCCCCAATCTTTTGGGCATCAGGGACCAATTCTGTGGAGAGGTTTTTCCGTGGACCGGAGGGTGTGTGGTTTTGTGTGCTGCCTGCATCCTGCAGATGGGACTTTGCTTGTTTGTGCGGACCGGTTGCTGGCATGCCACGGACCAGTACTGGTCCGTGGACCGGGGAGGGGGGGGCGGGGACCCCTGTTTTAGTCCAACCGCCTGCTCAACTAGAAGACCCTATACCATTTCAGACAAGTGGCTGTCCAGTCTCTTCTTGAAAGCTTCCAGTGATGAAACGCCCACCACTTCTGAAGGCAAGCTGTTCCACTGGTTAATTGTCTTCACTGTTAGGAAGTTTCTTCTTAATTCCAGGTTGCTTTGCTCCTTGATTAGTTTCCATCCATTGTTTCTTGTTTTGTCTTCTGGTGCTTTGGAAAATAAGTTGACCTCCTGTTCTTTGTGGCAGCCCCACAAATACTGGAATACTGCTATCATGTCATCTCTAGTCTTTCTTTTCTCTAGACTAGCCATATCCAATTCTTCATATGTTTTAGACTCCAGGCCTTTAATAATCTTAATTGCTCTTTGCACTTTTTCTATCTTAATTTTTTTGTAATGTGACCAAAGCTGGATGCAATATTCCAGGTGTGGTCTTACTAATCCACACTTTTCTTTATTTAGGTTATCTTGAAAGAATGTTGCATTCTGTGGCGTGATACTGAAACGAGGAAATTCTAGTGCAGGGCATTTCAGCCGGTGGTATGCGTACCACTGGTGGTACTTTGGCACCTAGCGGTGGTATGCGATCATCCTAGAGGAGAAGTAGCGGGGGAGCGGAATGAGCTAAGCGATGGCAGCGCTATAGAAGCGTGAGGGAGAGACAGCTGGAGCTGCAGGGCTGTCGGGGCTCAGCAGATCTGCACGCGTGGCTACAAGCTGATCGGCATTTCTGTAGGGATGTTGGGGCTCAGCGCTGGGCTCCAGCTGATTGACACTTCCGAAAGGAGCGCGTAGCTGGAGGTGCACAGAAAAGGGGGAGAGAGAGGAAAAGATATAAAAAGAGGTTTTGGCAGGAAAGGGCCAGTGAGGGGCTGCCCCGCCACACCCCTGGCCGCACACCTGCCCCCTGGCGCCCCTGCTGACTGTCCCTGCTGACCGTCCCTGCTGACCGCTCAGAGAAACGAGGCAAGCCCAGGCCGACGGAGTGCTGATTTACACCTCGAAGCTACCATCAAAGCCAGAATGTGCTTATCCTTAGTTTCATGGGGCAGCCCTGGAACCAGCGACGGGCCGCCTCAGCCCTGCCCTGCCCCCTGGGCGCACGGGGCCTAATGTCCCAGGGGACCGCGTTCTGAGTGCTTCGCAGGTTTACTTTTTTAAGCTGCCAGAGGCTCCAGGCAGGAGGCTTCCCATTTTGATCCCTCCCCTCCTGTCATTGCCTCTGTGCCTGAAGGGCCTCTGCGGGACTCTCAGCTCACCTCTCCCAGACCCGCCCACGTGTTTGTGTGTGTGTGTCTGTGCGCGCACATGGGGGGGCTCACTCCTTGTAGCCCCACACTGTGACATTGGGGAGGAAAAGAATGGGAGAGATAAGCTGGATGGGAGCTTCTTGCAGCCTTCCATGGGGCTGGGAGTGGGAGCTAAGGGGGGCAGCGCATGATGCGATTGGCGGCACGTTGAGAAAAAAACAAGTACTCCAAAAAAACAGCAGAAGGTCTCTGGAGGGTGCGGGGCTGCAAGGGGGTGAGACATCCCTCGCGCGCGCGCACACACACACACACAAACACATGCATGGGTCTGGGAGAGTTGAGTTGAGAGCCACACAGAGGCAATGATGGGGAGGGGTCAAAATGGGAAGCCTCTGCCCACTGCTGCCTGCCTGTTGCCACCTCTGCCTGGAGCCTCTGGCAGCTTAAAAAAAAGGGAAGGAAGGAAGGAAAGGACAGGGAGGAAGGAAGGGAGGGAGGGGGAGGGAGGGAGTCAGGGAAAGAGAAAGGAAGGAGAGGCAACTTTGTTGGAAATGCCCCAGTTCAAAGGAGAAAGCAGTTTTGTGTTCTGTTTTGTCACAGACATAACTTTGTTGGTAATCAGAGTTAACATTGATATTCTTGAATTGTGAGTGCTTAGGAAAGTATCCCCTCCTTGTGTGTTGCTAACAACCATTTCCAGTGGGGAAAAAAGGACAAAGCAGAGCGGGGGAAAATATTTTCCTTTGCTATATTTCCAATCTGAATTAGACCAAGACAGGGTCCCTACAAGAGAGCCCTTTTAAAGATTATGTATTAATAGAAAAGCAACTAAGCTACCTCTGATCCTAAATGCTAAAACTGTTGCACATAAAAAATGGAGGAGTTCTGATCAACTATCACAGCCACCATTTTGACAGTTTTACTGTACTGTTGTCTGTGGATGCCCCCACTAAATGCAAGCATGGGATAAACAGCCTGGTTTGTTCTCAATCTTTTAAGTGGCCACAAACTAGCAAAAGTGGCATTTGATCACAAGACAAGGAAGCATTGAGAAATGTTTCCCCTTTGCATTTGAGCATCCAAGAAGGGACAGGAAAGGAGAAAGAGAAAAGAGGAAAGACAAAGAAAAAGAAGGAAAGAGGGGAAGGAAGAAAAAGGAAAGGAGAATGAAGAGGAAGAAAAAGAATAAAAGGGGGGAAGGAAGGAAGATTATAATGAGAGGGAGGGAGGGTCTGAGGGAAGTCCTGCCTTAGCACTTGGCCACGACCAGCCCTGCTGCCCTTTTGCCAAAGCTGGGTCTCCTCGCATAGAGAGGGAGTGAGCCTCTCTCTGACCCACGCATTTTGCACACACCATGAGCAACCTGGCAAAGGAGAGCGAGCCAAGCAGCACCAGCCTTGAGGAGAAGGTAAGTGCAGCCGGATGCCCCCTTGGGGAAGGCTGGGCTGAGCTGGGTGCTTGCCCTCCACTGCCCAGGCTCTGGGCAGCCTGCACCACCAGGAGTCCTCCGCGTGGCCTGAGAGCAAAGGAACTGCCACCAAAGAAATTAAAACTGGTACTTTTTTCTTTTTCTTTTTTTTACGGTTTGTAACATTTTATTAGATTATGGAATAAAATACAAAAATACAAAAGCAAATAGTAGGACACTGGGGAGGAAGAAGGGAAAAAAGTGAGCAGGAAAAGGGAAAAAGAAAATGTATTGACTTCCGACTTCCTCTGTTGCAGTAGAATGAAGCATTAACATTGAACCTCAACTTTTTACATTTCCATAATAGTATAAACTAGCCATTTCTATAACAACAAATGAATCTAATCAGTAAAACCCAAAATCCCACCCCTTTTTTTTTAGTCATCAAGTTTTTGACACCTTGCTAAGCACTGGTGGTACTTGAATATTGTCATGTCCTAAAAGTGGTACAACCTGTGAAAAGGTTAAAAAGCCCTGTTCTAGAGCACTAAGTCTTAACCTTGCCAACTTCCAGGTAGGTGGACCTGGACCAACTCCCAAAATTCTCAAAAATGATCATCCTATCTGTGGAATTGTGAGAGTTGAAGTCCCAACACCTAGAAATGTATATAATTCAAAAACAATGCTTAAGATATGATGCTAACATCTTTAGTTTTACTTAATTTTAATAGAAACTTGACATATTAAAAAACTGACATTGGCAAGATGGATAGCAGCAGCTACACTTGTACAATTTTTTAGCTATATTAACAGTGGATTTTGAGCAGGTAAAGCTTGTTTTTAAACAACAGGTTATGAACATGGAAGAACAGTGCAATGTTTTTGAAGGAGCCAATCTTAAGTACATTCAGAGACTTCAAAATATGGAATCTATAGTATCAGTCCTTTTTAAATGGGTTACCAATATTTTTTAATAACATTTGATTAAGTTGTACAGTAAAATACAAGCTACAAAGCAAATAGGACACAATGGGGAAGAAAAGGGAGAAGAAAGGGAGGGAAAGGGAGGGAAAAAAATTGACTTCTGACTTCCCCTGTTGCAGTAGAATAGAGTATTAATGTTGAGCCTCAACTTTTTACTTTTTCACAATAGTAAAAACCAGCCATTTCTGTAACAACAAATCAATCTAATCAGTGAAACCCATAATCAAAGTTTCATTTTTTTCCACCTCAACCACAAAGTCCAGAAGCGATCTTCATGTATTCTTTTCTTCTCCAATCATGATGACCGTAGCATCCACCAATGGGTTATCATAGCCTTCCTGCTCAGTTGAGGCTAAGCAAAACTTTAGCCACGCCTCCTCTGGGCGGTTCCTCCCCAGTTCTTGCTTAGTCTCAGCTCAGTTAGAACGCAAGTATTTTGGCTCCTCAGCTAGGCTATTGAGT